GTACTACACATGTTGTTAATCTGTGGATGTGTTATTGAAAATGAGTGGTTAAATATGTTAGCCATATAATATGTGTAAATATTTAGATGTATATTAAATATTAAATAATATTGAAAAATTAAATATGAACTAATATTGTAGAATTTATATCTATTCAATTTATATATGTTTCTGCATTTTATACATATATTTTCCATTTTGTGTTTAATATCGTCTTTTAAAAATAATATTCCAGCCAATAATAATTGTTTGTCGAGTCTAGTTCTAAAAAATTTCAAATGTTATCATGTATAATTATAAAAAATGAATTATAAGCCCGAACAAATAATTTGAATCAAAATTTACATTTAAATTTAACTTTAATTTTAAACAACAATATATGAAACAATTTTTATTAAAGATTTAATAACAAATATATACAGTAAATAGAAGCATGTAAAAAATATTTGGAATATTATTTATTGGAATATTATTATACAGATTATTGTATCACCCAATCAACTCAACAGAGTGTGAGTAATAATACTTTTGAACTATCTCACTTAACTCAACAGAGTGTATGGTATTCTGTGTTTTTCTATTTTATTTTAATTCTATTTTTAAGATGTTTATATATATTGGATATTATTGTTCCTACTTTTTTATTCCTTTCGTTTTGTTGATTTTATTCATTTCAATTTAATTGTTATTAATATTATTTTTTTACATTTTTATATTTATTATTTTACTACTTTTTTGAAAAGAGTTAAAATATTTTTTTATAAAATGAAAACAAATATTTTCTGTCATTCCAAATTTATTTTAAATACAAAATAATTAATTTATTCTTAAAATCATCATATTACCTATAATTATTTTTTTGTTCCTTCAAAAAAATTTAAAATTAATACCATACAATATTTGTTCAATAACTTTTATTCCATATTTTTATTATGGACATAACTTAATAATTGTCATAGTTTTAGATCAAAAAGTGTATAATAATTGAATTAAAATATTTATTATTTTAATTGTCATACTCGTTTTTTAATTCCTGTTATTTTTTATTTATGGAAATAAAATATGTAATAGTCGAAGTTTTTAACAAAGAAAACATTGCAATATAGTGTTAAATAATTTAAAGGAAATATATTTTTTATGTTTATTTAATAAGCTTATTTTTAAAATGCATACACTTGATTTGGTCGTGATAACTTTAATAATAATTACTGAAAAATATTTTTATCAATATCTTTTACTTTAAATATTAACAAAAAATCAAACAAAGTGCAATTAAATACTAATAAACAAAACAATAAATTAAGATTTTTTAAATAATTGATAATTTAAGCCAGAACAAAAACATTATTTATTTATTTAAAAAAATGCAAATAAAGGATGTTTAATAAATATTACTATTATTTAAACTGTTTTTCAAAAACACAAACTGATACACAAATATTTTTAATTTTATTTAGCCAATCATTTAATTTTTTCTTTTTGTCAATAATTGATGATATTAATGTTGTTTTTTAAATAATAACGGAAAAAATACTGTGAAGAAACCAATTTATTTAATATTTTTTTAGAAAAATTTCGCTTTTAGTCGTGAGTACCTTTTCAACTTTATTTTAAACCGACACTCACACAATTTATACCATTTCTAACAAACAACTTTTAAACGACCGAACTACAATTATATAGCAAAAGCGTTGTTTTTAAATTATGGTTTGTCTTATTCTTTTAATTATTTATTTTACTAAATCCAAGTTTTTCGTTGTCAAAATTTTTGTTGTATCATTTTGAACAACAAATATTCAGCCTGACCTTCGTTAACATTAACGGCATTATTTTTGTTGTTACACACATCTTTTAAGCGTAAAAAAATCAATTTGGTCAATTTGTCTGAGTTCGTTTTGATTAAAAAACAAATATTTTAAGCCTAAATAATTGAAATCAAATCTATTTATATATTAGTTTTTAATTGAATTTTAAAACCATTTATTTTACTTTTTACAATTATTTTTATACCTTTTCCAGTTTATTGAATTAACAAAACCTTTTATTAATTTATAATAAAATTATTGTTTATAATATATAAGAGTATATTGTTGATTAAATAGCTGGAAAAAAATATTTTTGTCAACTTTATATTAAATTGGCTATAACACAAATCAAACACT